CATGTGATAGCAATAAGGTTAGTGTAAAAAAAAAAAAGTGTTTAAAAGTTATAAAAATTAAAGTAACATAAAAGAAAAAGAAAAAAATGCAAAAAAACTTTTTTAAGTCCCCCGCCCCCCACGTGCACGCACATACATACGCAAACACGAATCGGTGCGCCTACGTGCGAAAACGACAATTGCACTACACATGTTACGTATCGCCGCGAACGTCGGAGTGAGAGCAATCATTCTAGAGCCGTCAATCACTAAACTGATGAGCCGTAAAAGCTTTAAAATGTTCCCTATGGGACATTTTGGGTATTTACTTTTTTTTTGCGGCTTCACGGGTAAATGCAATTTTAAGGCTTGACATGTTTGGTATCTATTTACCCGGCGTGACCCCCGTCTTTTTATATGTTAACAAAAAATTGGGTTCTATAATATGTTTCTGTGCACTAAATTTTAATCTAGTTTATTTTTTCCTAAAAATACCGGTTTGATAAACATTTGTGCAAACCGTGCGACTGTAAAAAATTGCAACGAGCATTTGACGGGGCCTCCGCTTTCAGAACAGATATCATTTTTTGGGGGCAGGGGCGTAACTAGAAATCACAGGGCCGCATAGCAAAACCACAACCCAATTGATCTGAACAGCGGCGTGTTCGTCTTCAGCCGCCAGTGAAAGCCAGCAGCAGAGGATCCCATAGCGACCCAGGCGGCCCGCACGGCATCTGGCCGGGCCCCACTGTGCCCCGGGCCCCATAGCGGCCGCCTGGGTCGCTATGGTGATTGTTACGCCACTGTTTGGGGGTCTGAAGCTGTTTTCTAGCCAAAAATGTATATTGTATCGTGTGCGCAAATAGTAAGAAAATGCCCCGGACAGCAAGTGGTTAAAGTGACTTTCTAATCTTCTGATTGTTCTCTCTGGTCAGGTCTCAGCAGTCTCCCGTCTCCCTCTGAGGTGTCGGACGGCTCCATTTCTGTCACTTCGGCCTACTCCAGCAGCTCCGCTCTTCGTGGCTCGCTTGACTGTAGCCCAGAGAGCAGTCAGGACGCTCCTGTAGTGTCGTCCCCAAATTCCAGGCTCCTGGGGGCTGCCTCCTGGGACTTGGAGGACCCGGTGGAACAAGGCCAGTACCTGGGCTCGCCTGGAGTGGTTGATGCGGATCTCCTGGAATACAGAGAGGATACAGAAAACCGGGACTACCTGCAGGTAACGTTTCGTTCCTTGTTCCCCCTCCGCTCTCCCAACCCACACACTCTTTCCATGCTGTTTTATCTGTTGCTCTCTCTCTCTCTCTCTCTTCTTCTTTCCCCTTTTTGTTTCTTCATGCGCACTCTCGTTTCTCTCTTCCGGCCCCTCACGTCCTTCCCCCTATCGCCTCCACTCTCCCTCGTCCCAGGTTGATATGGTCACCCTCGCAGAACAGATCATAGAGGCCACTCCGGACCGCATCAAGCAGGACGATTTCACCGCCTCCGACTCCGTTCCGCTGAGAGAGAGATCGGGCAACCTTAGCAAGACGATGGCATGGCTGGCCAGCTACCTGGATACCGCTGATCAGATGCCGGGCTTACCTCCACATGGGTCAGTACTCGGATCTCTCTACTTCCTGTGTATATTTTATGTGGCTTCCCTAAATTTAGACACACTCCCTGAATTATGGAGGCATTCTGTTTTTGCTTATGTTTGCAAGAATAAATGTTTTATTAAAGGAGAACTATGAGGGGGGG